GGAGGGGCTCCTTCTAGGGATCCTGCTTCCAAAGCCACTGGCATTGTCGGCTGGGGCTCCACTTCTCCATCCTCCTGCCATCTGTCTGATTTTCTCCTCAAACTCCCTGTCTACTCCAGTGAGAGCGAACATGGGGCGTGGCCCGACAGCCCCGGGTGGTTTCTGTTTGAAGGTCTGCTGATGAGTCATTTTAATTTCCTTCACAGTGTGCTTTGGCATGTGGGTCTGAGGGCAGAGGACAGGCTGGGGATAACAGATATGAAGCACAGCGGCAGGTGCCCCAGCCTGATGACACCGCCGGGTCTGTGACTGTAGGGTTGGAAGTTATGTGTGACATGGATCTCTTTTATGCTGGATGGTTTGGTTTGTGTTTTTGCAGTACCTGGTTAAATGTAGGGCTGCATATTGAGCACTCCACCCGAACTGTTTCGTCAGCCCAATGAAAGTATTTTTAAAAATTCTTCGTGTTTCTTTTTTCTTTCCTGCCTCCCTCCTGCATTTACCATGTGTGGATACATGGTAGCCACACTGCATGGGGAAGCCAGGAGAGCTTGTCTGGGGTCGGTCCGACCCCACAGTGTGGGTTCTGCTGATGGAACTCAAGTTGTCAGGCTGGCAGCAAACACCTTTTCCCAGTGAGCCATCTTTTCAGTCCTCTATCCCCTCCTTTTTTGGGATCAGGGTCTCATATGGGGGCTCAGGCTAGTAATCTAGAACTACTATGTAGCCCAGGCTGGCCCCAAACTCCTTTCAGTCCTCCTTTTGAGCACTGTGACTAAAGGCATTAACCTCATGTCTGTCTGTTTCCTTTTTTTTTTTTTTTTTTTAGTAGATCTAATGTTCCCTTTTCATGGAAGGTGGGTAGGGTCTCATGTAGCCCATGTTGTTTTGGCTGTGGGCTGAATTGGGATGCATGGGAGGGGTTGGATGAAGGGGAGTGTCTGCTTGTAAGTGGCTTGGCCTGACTTGCTCTTGGTGTCCTTCTCCGGGTCAGGGAGGCCGGACCTGATGGCACACTCGGGTAAGATAGGACACAGACTGCCCTGAGAGTTGCTGATTGTACTCAGTGTGTAAGACTTTATCCCTCCCAGTTGGATTTTATAGCAGAAGACAGTGCAGGTTGCTTGTAAGAGAGGGAGGCAGAAAATCCGTCTTTTCAAAAAATGGATACAGCTTATATAAAATGTTTCAAATGAGCAAAGTGAAATCGAAGCTTCTTTTTCTTTCACTTTATCTTCAGTCTTTGAGGGTAGGGCTGATTGCCATGTGCTTTTGAGTCTGCCTATGGGTCACCTCAGCTTTAACTAGCCACATATTTATGGCTTTGATCATTGTTATCTACAAAGGAAACCACTGGGAAGACTCAAGTCCAAGCCTTCGTATGCAATAGTGAGTGGACAGGTGCAGTCTGGCTCCTGGCCCAGCTCTGCTCCATGTAAATTTCGTCAGGCACACGGGACAGGCATGCAGCTGGTGTTGTAATTCCAGTCCTTACTGATTAGTATGACCGGCCACCATCACATGATGCTTACTCTAAGTATAGCCTGCCTTTCTGGCAGCTGCAAACACCTGGAGAAGCAGGCACGGAGACCCTAGCCAGAAAGCATTTGCTTCTCCTAGGTGTTCGTTGTGCAGTTGTGACTGCCAGGCTTGCTTCCTGCTGTTTTGTCAAGGGTAGAAGCAGCCCACTGGCTCTTCGGCTCACACTTGGGGTATGCTGAGAAGCTTAGGTTGGCCTGTTATCTGCTATGAGAACTGGTGATGAGCTCACTGATAGACCAGAAGAATCCCTTAATATCATTCCAGAAGTGCCTTTGATCTCTGTAATGGACATAGCTTATTTAAACAGCCTTGTAGTCTTTGGTTTCTGACACTGGAGAACTGAGCCAGCCCTGATGGGATGCTGTTCGGTTGGTGAGGACTCTGGATTGTGTGCTTGGCTACTTATGAGTAGTAGTTAACCAGGTGGCTCTTCCGAAAAAAATTGCAAATAGCGTTTTGCCTTCTCCCTGTTCCTTTTTTTTTTTTTT